TGAAATGGCCCTGAAATTGCATGTCTCTCATGAAACAATATGTAAACATCTAAGGAATATGGGAAAACTCCTTAAAAAGGTGTTTTGTTGCATCACAAACTCTTCGATGATCATCGTTTCCAACGTGTGAACATTGCTTCATCTCTTCTGGCACATAATGCGTGTGAACATTTTTTGGACAGAATTGTTACCAGTGATGAAAAATGTATTCTCTATGTGAATATTAAACAGCAAAAACAATGGCTGAGTCCTAGATGAAAACCTCTTCTGATCCCAAAACCTGGACTCCATCCACATCAAAGGAGTAATTCATTTTGAACTCCTCAATCCACAGTGAACTGTCAATGCAGAGATCTATAGTCAGCAACTGGAACATTTAAATCAAGCCCTTTATCAGAAATGGCCTTCACTCGTCAATCGGAAAGGTGTTCTTCTTCTCCATGACAATGCACGTCCACATGTGGCACGTTTGACGCAACACAAGATTATGGAGTTGGGTTGGGAAGCTCTCCCCCACCCACCATATTCTCCAGATATGGCACCATCTTAATGGGAAAACGTATACAAATGTGGAAGGTGTTAAAGAGGATATCAACATGTTTTTTGCTTCAAAGCCAAGTGATTTATTTAATCAGAGCATTAACAACCTGATTGTAAGGTGGAAAAACATCATCAATAATTGTTTTGCTTTGATATATAAGTTGTTCGGGTTTTTCATTTAAAAAATAAAAGCAACATTAATTTCTTGATGACCTAATAGATTCATTCATTTACTCTCACATACATTTTTAATAAGTCTAAGTTCTTATTAAGTCTGAATGTTCTTGAAACACTAGGATCATCTCAGAAGATGAAATACAGAATTTCTTGATGTAACTAATAGTTTTTCTTACTTCTTTCCCTATTTTTGTATTCATATTTTAAAAGCTGTATTAATCTTAATTTTAAACATTTTGACATAATTGCAGGGAAGTAGAGATACTGAAAAACTCCAAGCTTCTTCATTTTTTAAAGAATGTAATCAAATAAGAACATTTGCTGAAGGAATGTTTGAAATAAGCTTGCAAACGGAGGATAAAATTTCATTAAATTTGTGAGGAAGATTTATGAAATAAATTACATTTTTATTAGTTGGAATAATAATAAGTATGCATAATCAGATTGTATAAAATATAGCTAGAAATGGAAAAAGTTAAATATTTTTTTTTATTTATATCCTTAAATCTATCATATTGATGGTTTTGCAGAGTGTTCATTCTATAAAATACTTGGTTTTTTTTATAAGTGTTCAGTTTTTAGCATAACTGAAAGGGATGTTTTGTTGGTTTGGTGGTTGCTAAAAAACTGTTTGAAACAGTTTTCATTTGTTCAGTACTTAGATGTACCGAATATTTTGGTATTCCTTCTAAAGTTCCATTTTCTGGTATAATACATTATGTTCTTCAAATTTATTTTCACAGTATGAATTTAGGTTGAAATTTAAGTTTAATGGACCTCAATCTTTTCAGTATTATTTTGCAATTGTTGTTGAGATTTTAAAATATTTGGTTGTTGTTTTGTAAGTAAGCTGTTGGATTATTGTTCTTTATCTTTTGTGTTGAAGTATTTCTTTGGAAGAATTGTTAAATATTTAAATTTATCAGAAATATTAACTGCATTTAGTTAGTGAAAGAATAAATTTCTCCACAAAAATTGTAGATCAAAATTGAAATGGAAGTTTCTGTACAATTTTATTTTTCTTTTAGTTTGAACTTGGAACAAAAACAACTCTGCCAGTGTCGAATGAAATTGTTGAAATATTTAGACAGATTGTCAACTTATGAGGTGAGATCTTTCGAGTGAAAGACATTGAAACTTAATTTATTCATAAGAGAAATGTGATTGTTTACATATATAGATATTAAAGCATTTTTATATTCATGTTTGATCATGGAGCTGAAGATTTGGAAATAAAAAACTAGTGGATTCCAATTTGTAGTTCTACTGCTAACAGTTGGTGGACAATAAGTATATTTTTTCCTTGTATATATAGACAAAAGTAGATGAAACTTTTACATACCATATTTATTAGAGACAAATATGTAGTACGGAAGCTTGTTAAGCATATGCTTGCAAAGTTCAGTAATGTTGTAATTATCTTAGTTAAAAGTGATGAAATGTTTTTATATACAAAGTGTAGTTCTCTCATTTAAATGCTAGATTTAGATTGGTAGCTAGAGTAGTTGTTGTTTCAAAAGCATAATTGTTAAGTAAGGAAATCAACATACATTTTATCATAATTTTTATTTGTGTAATAATGCTCTGTGTGCATAACTGGCAAGTTGTATGTTCATTACATGAAAAACATATAAAGAATAGACATCGAACTGTATTCCTTGCAGATTATACTGGGAGGACCTCACATTGCCGATGAACATTATGATGCCAAGTTTTTCAAAGTTTTCCGTTCACAGTCAGGATTAGAAGCTGCTGTTCAGTTTGCCCGTGAAAGTGATTGGCGATCTGTTGCAGCCATGTTTACTTACCATGGTAAAGAAACTTTGCAGCATCATTTGCCTGTCTTATCAAATTTTCCAGAGACCACATCACCATTTGATTATCGCTCCTTACTACCTGAGAGTGGGTAAGTGAAGCCTCATAATTTGATTTGTTTAAATGTGTAGGTCAGTATGGATGATGTTTTTGGTGCTCTATAATGAAATGTTTTTAAATTTCTAAATGTGAATGTTTGAAAAATATGATAATGATTTGCTTATTTTATTTCTTGTGACCTTTCCTAAGCAACTTTATAGCGTTTTAAACTAAATTAGAAGAAGAAAAACAGAAGCCACATTCTCTAACCCCTTTGGAAAATATGAAGTTTTTTAAAGCTGTGTGTGAGTATTTTAAACTGAAGTTTTCTGCCAACAATGCATGATACATATATAACTCCATTATTGAGACGTTTAACCTCCTGCCTTTTTTATTTCTTCTTTAAAAGCTGAACTTTTACAAGGTAGATATACTGTAGATTCTGTAGAGACAAGCATCTAGTATGGAAGCTTGTTAAACATGTGCTTGCAAAGTTCAAAGTCCAACAGTTAGTGTGCCAGACTATGGAGCTAAGAGTCTGTCGTTGAGGTCCCGTTACTGCCAATACAAAAAACAAAATTATATTTAAATTGGAGGCATTGAGTACATTATAAGTGTGTCAGTCAAATCCCACTACTTGATCTGAAAAGGGTTGTCAAAGAATTAGTGCTAGCTGGTGTCGACTATGTAACAAAGAAATTGATTGTGAATTTTTTGGGGACTTGTTGTTTTTGTTTGAAAGACTTTGTGAAGTATTAGGTCATCAAGAAATTAATGTCGCTTTTTTTAGATGAAAAAACCTGAACAAGTTAAATATAACAACAAATATTTATTAAATGAAATAGTC